GAGGTGGAGATGGGGGAGGAGTAGGTTGACGGAGCTGCAGAGGCGGCTGGTGGACTGGTTGAGGCTGGGGAGGGATGTGCTGTGGTGGCTGAAGCTTTCGGCGGGATCGTTGGGGGGCTGCAGCTGGTGGAGTCTGAACAGGAGGAGTCCGGATGCTCTTTTTCCCATGTGAGGTAGGACCCCACTCATCATCATCTTCACTGTCATCATCATCCTCATCATTATCATCACTATCAACTTGAGCACAAGCTGCAGCCCTAGCGGAACGGCTGAGCTGCAACACTGAATGGGCAGGACCTGCTTCGACCGGGGCAGTTCCCTCTCTCTCTTGTGAACGGGGCATCATGAGAGGCAGGCCTTGACGCTCAGGTTGTCCAACCACGCGCACAGACAAGGAGGCAACTGCACGTGGAGGAGAGGGTGTTGCGACCTCCTCGTGGCCATGAGGGAAAGAAGGATGCCATATCCTTCCAGCTTTAATGTCAGGTGACTCTTGTGACACTGGAACAGGGCCTGTATCCAACCTATGTGATCCCATTAACCCAGGGTCCTGTGGCAACCCTCCTCCACCCGCCTGGGTTGCGGACAGATGAGAGTGTATGATGTGATGCTGAAAAAACAAATGTAATTAAAACAAATGTAAATGAAAGATCAAACACGTACATAAAAGCTGAGCAGATGTTCCCAGACCTTCAATTTCGAATTATTTATTCAGTAGTGATAATGTAATGTAATCTAATAAGCAATCAGAGTATGACTGCTTAACAGTCCATGAAAACTGCCTAGTATTTCCTCAGAGCACACTGCAAGTGTGAGAAGTTTAGTTGAACTCACTTACACCCAGAGTGACACAGTCAAACTCTGCTGCATCAGTATTAGCATGACAAGCTCATCATTGGAAATACAACATGAGAATAGCAGACTCTCTACCATTTCTACACGATTGCATACATGTGGTGTGAATTCTGACTGCTTGCATAGAAAACCAATGCTGTCATTGAAGGTAATGTTTGTTCTGGACAGCTGATCTATATTTCTCTAGTACATTACATTCCACAAATCAAATCAGCCTGTGTATTTACTGATCAAATAAATCTGATAGAGGGCACAACTGTACTACTCTAACTATAACTTTTCTTTGCGCAAATATTTAAGTCAGTTTTATACAAATGTGTGTGCTTACTTTCTCTGGCAGAAAAGAAGTGCTATCTTTGGTTGACGTGTGTTCATCCTTCCCAGGGCCAGCAGGACTCTGTGTCTCTGAAAGCAGCATTTTGAAATGGTCATGCACAGAGTTTTTTTGAGGGTGAAAAAAATTTGCATCTACAACTTAAAGTGTCTGAAAATTGAAGGCATACACTCAGGAGAAAGTCAACATCCTTAATGCACAGCAACAATAACACACAGATAAAGAAATTTAATCTAACAAAGAATACCAGCGTTTGACAGCCATTGAAAACCACCTAGTATTTCCTCAGAGCACACTGCAAGTGTGAGAAGATAAGTTAACTCACTTTCACCCAGATAGACTGGTGCATCAGTATTAGCATGGCAGGCTCATCACTGGAAACACCGAATTAGCATAGGAGACTTCAAACATTATGCATCACTGTATGTTAAGAATCTCCGCACAGATGGTGTAGTCAAGTCAGTGTTATAACCTGTGTGTATATGCACATGTGAGTCTGCTTACCATCTGCCTCAGTGGCCTCTCGGGCTTCTCTCTCCAGTCTCTGTCGGAGGAGCTCCTGCTGTTTGGCCAGGTACTGCTTTATAAAGCTGTTCTGACTCATCTCCTCTCCAATCTGACACACACACAGAAAGAAACTCCAATCAAGGTAATCTCATTCACAATTCCTGGAGCCAATAAGCATGACAAACATGCAGTAAGCATGTAATAGATATTCAGAGGCTATGTGTGACATGTTCGTGTGATTAAAATGAACAATTTATTTGAAGCCAGTCTCACTAATTTAATAATGCAATTTTGTATTTTAACATTAAAAAAAATGTATGGATAATCAAGTAAACCCAAGTTGCTTCACTACGTTAAATTTATGGGCATTTTTAAAACATACTAAAAGGCCCTTTATTTACTAAAAAGTATCAACTATCAGTAATAGATTATAGGCTACAGGTTGTGTGCAACAAGTTTTGACCATGTTGATAATTTAGAAGACTAAGAAATTAATGTAAGCTTTATAGATTTTTTTAGGAAGGCAATGTAGTCCAGTTCTACATTTGTTGAAACATCTAAACCACCTAAGACAGTGACTTAAACTATAATTCTACAAATCTATAAATGACACAAACGAGAAGAGAGGGTTACCTGAGAGTTGGGCTGAAGACCAATGTGATGGGTAGATGTGCGTTGGAGATTCTCCAACATAAGAGCCTTCACAAACACAGCAGATGATGCACATCAAAATTACAGCTATAGACAATAGGCCCGACACATCAAACTTAGTAAACAAACAGTAATTTTCGTAAACACTCCGTTTAGGTTCCTAAATCTGCTGGAGCGTGTTGCTTGCGATCCAAACCTATTCAATACACTGTTCGTAAAAAGAAAAGGTCCGAAAGCTTTGAAAAATATCTCGCGACTTACCCGAGCAGCACAACATGACTGCTTGCGATTCGAGACAAGAGTCAGTGTGAAGAATAGGGATGGGCATATCGATCCTAAGTATCGATATATCGATACTGACGCGAGTATCGAAAGTATCGATACTCAAACTAAAAATATCGATACTAAGGTGTGTTTTATTTACCAGTGATTTCGTTTATTTAAAATAATAATAATAATGCGTACTTCACAAACACAGCAGATGATGCACATCAAAATTACAGCTATAGACAATAGGCCCGACACATCAAACTTAGTAAACAAACAGTAATTTTCGTAAACACTCCGTTTAGGTTCCTAAATCTGATGGAGCGTGTTGCTTGCGATCCAAACCTATTCAATACACTGTTCGTAAAAAGAAAAGGTCCGAAAGCTTTGAAAAATATCTCGCGACTTACCCGAGCAGCACAACATGACTGCTTGCGATTCGAGACAAGAGTCAGTGTGAAGAATAGGGATGGGCATATCGATCCTAAGTATCGATATATCGATACTGACGCGAGATGACCATAGTTCAACTGTAGTATTTGTAGATTTGAATCATGTGTAAACAAAAACACATTTGAACCATGTGCAAATAAAAATATAACCTAATAAATTACAATTAAGGCGTATTGAATGTTAAAATGTGTTTTAAAAAAAGTGGTTATCATTACCCATTTTACTCTTAGTAATTTAATAATTTAATACATTTCATCATTTAAAAGTTTAGTTCAGAAGTATCGTATCGGTATCGATATCGACGATACTGCCTTGAAAAATATCGGTATCGTATCGAAAACAAAATAAGTGGTATCGCCCATCCCTAGTGAAGAAGCGTCGTTGAATGAAGTGATTATATTAACGTTAGTTGTGGGAGTGGCATTAGCCTTTCAAATTATTCACTACGTTAGCACATACTTAGCAGATGACTCCGTTAATCTGACAGTTTACCGGTCGGTCGTTATGCTAATTGTCGATGGAAAATAGGAACTGAAAGACAAAGTATCTCACGTGAATGTGATTTTGAACGAGTGAAAGAAGTGTGAAATACTCCGACCCTCTAAAACGCAGCATTTTAAACCAAATTAGTTGAGTGATTTACATAAAATAGCCTATAGGAATTGCCCAAACTTGCTTATCGAGCGTGAGTATCATTTGTAACGTCGTTTTTACATGGTAGAAACGAATGGTTATTTCTACCATGTTTATAAATCTTGTGCAAGGGTCCGACGCGAGACTGGCAAACATGCGGCGCGCGCGGGCACGACGTCAACTCGCCACGACCCTCAGACTGTTTAGAAAACATCGGTATTGCTGTATTATTTAAATTACGTGTTGTAACTGCATAAGTAATGGAAAACAATTGCTGTGCGACACGGTAGACGATTCAAACTAGCCGCACGGACTCGACAAACATTCCCGCTCTCGAAGCAGCGATACTTGGCCTGCCTTTCGGGTCTCGTCTCTTACTCAACTTGTCAGCAAGCGCACGGTTTTAAGCCCGCCCTTTGACCAAACTCACCCCTTTCAGCCGTTTGACAAGTGCATTTTTCTGTCCACTTTTGGCGAGCCCTCTTTGCTCCAGGGCGGCTTTTAAATCCGCCACACGAAGCGAATGAAGCGGTTTGCCGTCTAACGTTACATCCTCGAGTTCCGCCATTTTGCTTCACCCGAGCGCTCGAACTTCTGGGGTTGTGGCTAGAAGGGATACAGCAAAAACCGGAAGCTAACGATACATTTAATTTTCTACCTATTCGATTGTGTTTTATAAACGTCTACACCTACCCCAACCCCAACCCTACCCCTTACAATAATGCAAAAATAGTAATTATTGCTGTATAGTGTGAGAAAAATTACGCTATTGATGTGCGCATGCCCAGTAGTTTTTGCTGTATCTCCGGATAGACATAAAAACAGATACAAGTGGCCGCACTTTCAACGGTCATGAACAAAGCCTTCTACTAGGTTTCTTGTAAATTGCAATCTGCATCCAGGTTATTTACATCAACGGTTTAAAATTGCACGCTATCGTCATTTAATGTTGTGACCCCTGTGTCCTTCATAAGTCACTACAAGAAGCATGCCTAATTCCGTTTCTAAAACAATCCTAAAATGGCTTGCTGGTCTACCAGGATGCTCTATTTGCTGGTTTAGAGGGGTTTTCACCTGGTTAGGCTGGAAAACCAGTCGGTAGACCAACTAAACCAGCTGAACTTCAACTTGCCCAGGCTAACCAGCAAAGGCTGATTATCACTGAAACATACTAAAGCATAAACATTTTAAACAAGAATAATACGACACAGGACAAAACAACTGAAATAACCACAACTCTGTTCTGTAACAAAAATGTATTTTGAAGAATCTCACCATTTGACAAGCACCAAAGACTCCCTTAAATGCAAAGTACCTGTGGAGTGGGTGGTTGGTTCCCTTGGACACTTGTGAACAGGGAATCGATGGCATCGGCCAGGCAAGAAAGATGAGAGAGACTTTGGGAGGAGTAGAAGGAGAGCAGCTCTGAATCTTCCAGAGACAGAGAGACTGGGGAGGAAAGACTCAGCTGGAGAGAAACAGAGAAAAGAGAAGATTATTCATATAAACTTACAAAACACTGTATATAAAGATATAGACCCTTACCTCCTTGAAAATACCTAAAAATGCATAATTAGAGGCCTACAGCATAGTTGCAAAGTTGACATTTCAGTATGTTATTTCGAAATTACTCTCTATAAAGTTTCATTAGGCTAAGTTGAAAGTATTTTGGAGAGGTTCAACTATGATTTAATGAATGAGCTCTGTTGTAAGTTGAATTCTTCCAAAATTTAGAAAACAATTTTTTTCAACATGTTCAGTGATACAAAAAAATGCCAATATATATAAAAAAAAAAAGAAAAAAAAAGTGGTGTAAATACAAGACATTATTTACACAGGTTTATAGTTTTTTTTTATTTTTTTATATTGGCTTTTTTTTAATCACTGAACATGTTGAAAACAATTGTGAGCACAGTACAGATCAAATATAAATACATTTATGTCCAAAAGTTTAGGACCAAGATTTTTTAAAATGCTTTTGAAAGTTTCTTATGCTCAGGAAGTCTGGATTTATTCAATTAAAATACAGTCATTAAATTCATTAAATTAACATTAAATGAATACAATTTAAAATAACTGATTTCTATTTTAATATATTTTAAAATGTAATTTATTCCTGTGATGGCAACGCTGAATTTCCAGCAGCCGTTACTCCAGTCTTCAGTGTCACATGATCCTTCAGAATTCATTCTAATAAGCTGAACTGGTGCTCTAGTAACATTTTTTATTATTATCAATGTTAAAAACAGCTGTGCTGCTTCATATTTTTTGTGGAAACTGAGATAAATTTTTTAAGAATCCTTTGATGAATAGAAAGTTCAAAAGAACAGCATTTACTCAAAATAGAATTTATTTGTAACAATGTAAATATTTACTTCCACTTTTTATTAATATAGTGTATCCTTGCTGAATAAAAGAATAATCTTTTAAATCTTATTGAAACCAAACTTATAAATGGTAGTGTATTTAGGTGATTGCAAAATCTGATCTAAATCAGTCAGCAATGGTGTCTGAGGTAAGGTATTATTTAAGTGTTACAATCTTTCTACAATGGCTTTTTGAGTGTTTAAAATGGAGTGCTCATGGTAAGAAACAAAAAAACAGTGAAATGCAATGCAACAGACAAAGATGTCACTGTCACTGAAAGGTGTACAGTATATCAACCAACAATTAAAAATAGTGCAGACAAAATGCAAAAACACCTCCTGAGTGAACGGTCCTTTAGTGTGTGTGAGTTTTGGGAGTATAACAGACAATCAAAGACTTACTTTATTATCAGTTGTGGTGATAAACTGTGAAGAACTGTGCTCTGTATGGGTGTCTGGTGGTGGCTCTGGCTTCCCCTAAAACAGAACAACAACAAAAATGTAAATGTCCACAAAAAGAGAACTGCAGACCACAGAAATGTTTCAACAAAGGTGAATACAGGCACCAAAACATGAACAGATAGTCAAAAGAGAAGTAAAACTCTGACTGAATAAATAAGACAGAATGATAAATCATGAGAAAATGTAAATATTAAATTAACATTAAAGTTGCTGTAGTTAACCGATGTTTTTGTATCTGACAAGTAAAGTGCTTCGGCCTTTTGCCTGATGAACACTCGTGTTCATACTTCAATAAAAACTGATGTAAAAACATCAGAGTGTGAACATTTACTCTTTTTTTTGGCATTATATCCATGCATAAAACAGGTGTCTAACCTGCAGTTTGACGTATCCCACACTATCACCTACAGGATATGAAGGCGGTGGTGTAGGAGTTAGGCCGATTCCTGCATACTCATTCCCTTGTTCCTCATCCTCCATTCTTCCCACAGTAGGGGCTAAAGAAACTGGTGTTGGGGGCAAAGGGAAGGCAGCGGGTGGCGGAGGTGGCAGTGGTCGTTCCTGGATCCAGCTGCCCTTCCGTGATCCCATGTCCCCTGTGATCGGTTTGACCTCTGCCACCGGCAAAGCAGGTAGAGGTCTCCGGGACAGAGACTCCTGGGAAGGTAAACGAGGTCGCGCTTGACTCTGTAAAAGGGAGACGGAGTCTTCAAGGGCACAGCGGACCATCGTGAGCAGACCGTCGGCTGGAGGGGCAGTGCCACAAACCGAAAGAGCAGGAAGGAGGTCGGAGAGACGGGACCATGCCTGCTGGAGAACTGGAGGAATATCACCAACATGCCCAGCCTTCCAGACAGAAAGGATCTCAGCCAATGCAGAGGCGAGGTCTCGGGATGGGGTGGTGGTGACAGAGGCAGAGGTCAGGGCTGATTGGACAAGAGCGGAAAGAGACGCTTTCCACTGGATGTCCCCAGAGCCGGTGCTTGACACAGATAAAGGGCGTGTCGGGATTTCTAGAGTGAGGGCAGGCATGTCATAGATGCCTCCATCAGGTTCTGACACATCTTCAGAGGTTAAGTCTTGCTTTCTAGTACTGGAAATCGAATAGGTTCGTCCGTTTCCAGCAGTTTCTGCAGTTAATCCCGGCATCTCGCTTGCCTCCAAGTGTAAACCAGGAAGACTGGGAACACTGTACACATCCTCATCCTCTGCATCTCCAGCCACAGCAGCCGATCCTGGACTATTGTAGGTTTGCTGCTGATGGTCAGAGGAGGAATTCAGGGCCAGAGTGGGAACATCATAAATCTGAAAGATATGAAAGAGTTACTCACTGTTTACTAATTTTTAAAGAGTTACAACAGATTTTGGATCCCAAACTCCATTCATTTACAAACTACAGTAATTATAATTGCAAGCTGTGCCATAAAGCATGAATCATGCTGTTTCTTTAACTGTTATGTGGGAGTCTCAGCTACTGCTCAGTTTAAGGCTGGAATACACTACACAACTTCTGAAAATATTTTAAAACACTAGGCATTATACAGTTGCTGAATTTTTAAACGATTACAGAGAAAAATCAATCATCATACACTGAACGACTGAAGATCACACACTACAAGACTTTCAAGTAATTCCGAACACAAGAGATTCACTCATAAACATGTGTCTTGTTGCTAGGAGATGCATGACAAATAAAAATGTGTTTTATAATCAGCTCAAAATATCAGATAAGCTTGATATCCTCCAACTGGATGGAATCATGGTCTGAAGCTAAAAAATCTGAGTCGGAGTCTGTACACTACACGATTTTCTGTGAAACCGGTCAACTCTGACTGCCCAAAATCTGGCAGCCTGTGACTTGTCAAGTAGTGTTGACTTCTCCAGACTGCAAATCAGGACAAAAAAGCAGGCAAAAGTTGTGTAGTGTATTCTAGCCTTTAGTATGTGTTCTCTAATAGCTCACAGTTTAATGCCCTTGGAGTGTCTCTTGTGTGTGTTCATCACTATGTCACGAATTCCACTTTGACTGACTAATAATAATAATAATATATATGGATTAAGAGCAAACATCCATTAAATAGCCACTACATTTATTTACAGTCTCTGCACAAGCACAAAAATCCATTGCTAAGGATTCAGTGAGGATTAGTAAGACAAATGAGAGAGGGAAAGGGGAGAGAAAGATTGTGGGTGGAGGGCTGAATAGAGCCACATGGGTCTGGCTGATCTGCACAACCCGACAGGCGGCTGTGACTTGTGTGAACAAGAGAAAAGTGTTACATGGGATTAACTCATAGCAGAAAAAAGGTGTGGTTTAAAAGCAAAGGAATAGGAGAGGAGTGAGAGAATGAGAAACAGAGAACAAGAAAAACAGCAAGAGGAAAAACAAAGGAGAGATTATGTGAAAATGTGGAGATTGTACGTAAATGTGCAAAACCTCTGATATTTAAAAGTAGATGATTTTTTTAGCAAATTAATTTTTAAATACACATTATTTTGAACTTTCAATTCATCAAAGAATTCTAAACAGTGAAAATTTCTGATATGATTAGCATAAAAAAGCATATTAAAATTATTTCTGAAGGATCATGTGACACTGAAGACAAAATTCAGCCTAGCATCTCAGAAATAAATTATATCTTAAAATATATTGAAACAGAAAACAATTAATTTAAATTGTAATAATATTTCATAATATTAATGTTTTGATTGTATATTTTTATCAAATAAATCCAGCCATGCTTAGCATAAGAGACTCCAAACGTTTAAACACCATCAGCTAATGACCACTGCTACTTGGGTGGCTCATGGTCAACCTCAATGTACTACTTTAAATGTGTGGCAGTCCAAAAGAGAAATGAGAGCTTGGAAACAAATCAAAAGACATTGTATGGATAGTTCTATGGTGTTTTTTGCCTGATTTTTACAGCTAGACAACCTCTGTCCTCATTCACTTTTATTGTATGGACAAGAGCAAGATCAACATTCTTCCTAGCATTTCCCTTTAGTGTTTGATTTCTTACCTTTGAGGCCTGGTCAGTGTGTTTTACAGTGTGGGGTACAGCACGAGGGATGTTATAGATCCCATCATCCTCCTCAGAAGGCACTGTAGGAACTGGATGCTGCCACCTATTTGTGGGAGGTGTATCATATACCTGAAGAACACGAGAACAAACATTTAAAATCTTATCTCGCTATCTATTTCATCATCTCTACTATCTCTTCAAAGAAAACTCATCCATCTTCTGCAGAACTACAACCTCTTTCCTTTCTTCCAATCAAGTTCTCATTTATCTCACCTCCTCACTGAGTTTCTCATCCTGTGAACTTGTACTCTCCCTCTTGGTCACCATTTTCATGTTCTTCTTCATCTCATTCACTTGTATGTGTCCATTTTTACTTCCCTGTCTCTCTTCCTCCAGCACGTTTGTCTGTGGGGGTGCAGGGTTGGCCTGGAGAACAGGTTTGGTGGTTGGAACCGAGTTACACTGAGGTAAATCCTTCCTGGTCACACTTCTAACAGGAGGTGCTGGCGGAGGGGGTTTGCGGCCAGAGTTTGGGGACCCTGGTACTCCGGACTTTCCCGCCCTGGTGAGTAGAGGGGATTCCCTTAGGCCACCCTGCGCCAGTTTTCCTCGACCAACAGGAGGAGTTGAAGTAGTACCCTTTTGGGATCCTCGGGCAGAGGGAGGTGTCTGCTTAAGATTCTGGCCTGGTGTTGAGGCTCCAGACACTCCTACAGTTCCAGCGGGGTGTTTGCGGTCTGATTGAGGGGTCCTTGATATGGCACCCCCAGGTGGGGTTGGGGTTTGGTAAATCCCCAGGGCATCCTGGCCAGTCTTACTCTGAGAAGGACTAATAGAAGAAGATGGGCTGCTTTTGGGTGCAATCCCATCCATAAGTCTTGAAGTCATTCCTGGCACACACTGTCCTGCCTCTGGGGCACCACTTATAGGAGTCTGATATAAATTCTCACTGGTCAATGCAGCGACAGCTGCTCTGGGCACCAAGTAGCATCCATCAGAATTACCGGCCCCTGCATCTCGTAGACTTAAATATCTAGCCTCCCCTGCTGTTTCGGCTGCAGACCTGGGAACAGCACTTGGAGTCAGGTACACTGAATCGGAAGCCAGTGCACCTTGTGATCTGTGTTGTGCCACCAGTGGTGCAGGCGAGGTGGGTGTCTGGTAAAGGGTCCCTGACTCGCCACCCCGTCCTCTAAGTGAGGGTGAACGGGGTCGTCCCGCCACACCCACATCGCCCCAGTCTGGACAAGGCCTGGTTCCAGAACTAGAATGCGATCGTGGCCTTCCTCCATCAGAGTGACGTAGCTCTCCAGACCTGGCAGGGGTAGGAGCAGCCCCAGGGCTCTGGTACACCCCTTCAGCTAAGCTGGGTGGTGAGAGATACACCCCATCTGAATCTTCAGTGCTCAGTCCATTTACCCTGCCCTGGTGGCTAGTCGATAGATGGACTGAGTCCACACTAGGAGCTCGCCGGGTATCTATACCGGTGTTTGAAGCTGGAGTCTGAGCAGTTTGGAGGAGGCGTAATCGATTGGCAGGGGCAATGCCTTGACGGCCATGTAGGGAGCAAAGCCACCACCCTGGTCCACCGTCCTGCTCCTGGTCCAGAACCATCAGGATATCACCTTTGCGGAACGCTAACTCCTCTGGGCTTTCAGCGGCATTGTCAAAAAGTGCCTTTGCAAGCACTGTCTATAAGACAATAATAAAAAAAACATAAGGAGGAGGAGAAGAAACCAAATAAAGCTTTAAATAAATCCTACCACGACATGAATCACCTCTGGTCTAGCTTCTTAGTCTAGGTTTCTAATAAACCTAGCATTGAAATGCATGAACGTAAATGTAAATAAATCAAAGGCAGCAAAACATAATAAAATCCTGCATAAATAAAAAAAGGAGACAGACAGAAGAAAGGCTTTAACCAAGTCTTTCAATGGGAACGGGGAAGGACAGCAATAGTGAAGGAGAAACGCTAATTTCACTAGACTGCTAGCAACAATATAATTCAATTGTTTAAATTCAATGTACTCAGTTCAAATGAATTTATTTGAGCCTTCAGCTGACTCTACTTCCACAGCGTTTGAGCTGTGTTGTGTTAGTAAGGGAAGTCAAAAACAGGAAACAACGTAGAGCAGTAGACCCACTGTCCTGCAGAGTTTAGCTACAACCCTAATCAAACACACCAGGAGCAGCTAATCAAGCTCCTCAAGATTGCATGACAATACTACTCAGGCAGGTGTGCTGAAGCAGGTTGGAAATAAACTTTGCAGGACAGTGGGTGCCCAGAAGGAGGGTTGAAGACCTCTGACGTAGAGGATCTAACCTGGCCACTTCAACCAGGTTCATCAACCTGTGTAACCAAATAAATTTTTTACTTAACAAACAGAACTAGCACATCATCATGACAACATAAGGGAAAATTAAGGCCATGGTCAACACTAAAAAAACCTGATGAGTCTCATAGTTGACTTAAACATTTAAAGAACACACAAATATGGCTTAAAAAAGATGGTCAGTACATAGCAATTTAATTGCTGACCTAAATTCTAAGCATACATAAAGCCTACAGAAGAAGAACTGCTCATTTAAATGTATCTGAAAAGGGCAGCGCATACGAACTGTACAGTTAAGAGTGAAATACTTAAATATCTAGCCTCCCCTGCTGTTTCGGCTGCAGACCTGGGAACAGCACTTGGAGTCAGGTACACTGAATCGGAAGCCAGTGCACCTTGTGATCTGTGTTGTGCCACCAGTGGTGCAGGCGAGGTGGGTGTCTGGTAAAGGGTCCCTGACTCGCCACCCCGTCCTCTAAGTGAGGGTGAACGGGGTCGTCCCGCCACACCCACATCGCCCCAGTCTGGACAAGGCCTGGTTCCAGAACTAGAATGCGATCGTGGCCTTCCTCCATCAGAGTGACGTAGCTCTCCAGACCTGGCAGGGGTAGGAGCAGCCCCAGGGCTCTGGTACACCCCTTCAGCTAAGCTGGGTGGTGAGAGATACACCCCATCTGAATCTTCAGTGCTCAGTCCATTTACCCTGCCCTGGTGGCTAGTCGATAGATGGACTGAGTCCACACTAGGAGCTCGCCGGGTATCTATACCGGTGTTTGAAGCTGGAGTCTGAGCAGTTTGGAGGAGGCGTAATCGATTGGCAGGGGCAATGCCTTGACGGCCATGTAGGGAGCAAAGCCACCACCCTGGTCCACCGTCCTGCTCCTGGTCCAGAACCATCAGGATATCACCTTTGCGGAACGCTAACTCCTCTGGGCTTTCAGCGGCATTGTCAAAAAGTGCCTTTGCAAGCACTGTCTATAAGACAATAATAAAAAAAACATAAGGAGGAGGAGAAGAAACCAAATAAAGCTTTAAATAAATCCTACCACGACATGAATCACCTCTGGTCTAGCTTCTTAGTCTAGGTTTCTAATAAACCTAGCATTGAAATGCATGAACGTAAATGTAAATAAATCAAAGGCAGCAAAACATAATAAAATCCTGCATAAATAAAAAAAGGAGACAGACAGAAGAAAGGCTTTAACCAAGTCTTTCAATGGGAACGGGGAAGGACAGCAATAGTGAAGGAGAAACGCTAATTTCACTAGACTGCTAGCAACAATATAATTCAATTGTTTAAATTCAATGTACTCAGTTCAAATGAATTTATTTGAGCCTTCAGCTGACTCTACTTCCACAGCGTTTGAGCTGTGTTGTGTTAGTAAGGGAAGTCAAAAACAGGAAACAACGTAGAGCAGTAGACCCACTGTCCTGCAGAGTTTAGCTACAACCCTAATCAAACACACCAGGAGCAGCTAATCAAGCTCCTCAAGATTGCATGACAATACTACTCAGGCAGGTGTGCTGAAGCAGGTTGGAAATAAACTTTGCAGGACAGTGGGTGCCCAGAAGGAGGGTTGAAGACCTCTGACGTAGAGGATCTAACCTGGCCACTTCAACCAGGTTCATCAACCTGTGTAACCAAATCAATTTTTTACTTAACAAACAGAACTAGCACATCATCATGACAACATAAGGGAAAATTAAGGCCATGGTCAACACTAAAAAAACCTGATGAGTCTCATAGTTGACTTAAACATTTAAAGAACACACAAATATGGCTTAGATTAAGTAGCTTAAAAAAGACGGTCAGTACATAGCAATTTAATTGCTGACCTAAATTCTTAGCATACATAAAGCCTACAGAAGAAGAACTGCTCATTTAAATGTATCTGAAAAGGGCAGCGCATACGAACTGTACAGTTAAGAGTGAAATTATGAAAGTAATGGGTTGCCTCAAGGTCTTTTGTATTCAGAACACCACACTACTGCCTTCATGGGTAAATCAATATTGATAGAGAGAATGCATAAGTAAGGGCAGAGGTCTGTGATTATGGGAGAAAGAGAGAATTAGTGATTAAGGGAAAGAGGCGCTGAGTTGATGATAAGGTGTGCTGAAGCAGGTTGGAAATAAACTTTGCAGGACAGTGGGTGCCCAGAAGGAGGGTTGAAGACCTCTGACGTAGAGGATCTAACCTGGCCACTTCAACCAGGTTCATCAACCTGTGTAACCAAATCAATTTTTTACTTAACAAACAGAACTAGCACATCATCATGACAACATAAGGGAAAATTAAGGCCATGGTCAACACTAAAAAAACCTGATGAGTCTCATAGTTGACTTAAACATTTAAAGAACACACAAATATGGCTTAAAAAAGATGGTCAGTACATAGCAATTTAATTGCTGACCTAAATTCTTAGCATACATAAAGCCTACAGAAGAAGAACTGCTCATTTAAATGTATCTGAAAAGGGCAGCGCATACGAACTGTACAGTTAAGAGTGAAATTATGAAAGTAATGGGTTGCCTCAAGGTCTTTTGTATTCAGAACACCACACTACTGCCTTCATGGGTAAATCAATATTGATAGAGAGAATGCATAAGTAAGGGCAGAGGTCTGTGATTATGGGAGAGAGAGAATTAGTGATTAAGGGAAAGAGGCGCCGAGTTGATGATAATGAGGAAGACTCGTGGGGGAGGGGCTCAACATCTGTCCCCCAGTTTTAGGTCCTTTTGTCATCCCCTTTTATACCTCTAAATTTCCCTCTCATTCTTTCATTCCCCCCAGGGGATGTGGTGCTCTGAGGCAAGCTGAGCCCGAGTTCCCCCTTCTCCATACTAGCAGTGGATATGAATATTAAGGACTGGACAGCAGAGAGTGTTTTACAGTGGTGACTTAAACACACTTACCGATAGAGACATGACTGAAGCTGGTTCTCCACAGTTTTGGATGCGTTAACTCCACATGTGCTCTCCACAGAAGCTGTTTCCCATTCACATGTGCACTGTGTGACTCATCTGCATGTTTTGTAGATCTGGTTTTCCATGAACCTGAACCATACAGTGGTGGTAAATACGATGGTCTTTATATCCAGAAAGATCAATTTCTCAAAACCATGATTGTTGTCCTTTGCAGTTTGTGACTTTCATCACATCTGACAATTGCCGCACATATTGAACCTGGAGGATCAAAATAAATGCATTTTAGATCAATCTCAATAGTACAGTAGTGTGTGTTAGTAACACAGAGTTCACTTTATGAAACAGTCAGCTGCAGCAGCCAAACTAGTCAGACCAGCTGTGGGGCTCCACCAGTGGAGCTCAGACAAAAAAGATCTAATTTCATGGGAATTTGGCTGTTAACTTTTAAGTACAGCTGTACTGTGGTATTTCAATTTGCCCACCCTGATTGGACAGAGGATTAAGGGGCTACATGATAGCATAACTTTGTAATTATGAGTTAATATAGGTGGAGACATCGTTTCCTATTTGGTCATTAATGTTTGTTTGTATTTTTATTTTATTTTTGGTTTATAAAGTTTTTTTTTTTAGTTTAAAGGAATGAAACCTAAATATGTGGTATTTCAATTTGCCCACCCTGATTGGACAGAGGATTAAGGGGCTACATGATATCATAACTTAGTAATAATGAGTTAATATAGGTGGAGACATCGTTTCCTATTTGGTCATTAATGTTTGTTTGTATTTTTATTTTATTTTTGGTTTATAAAGTTTTTTTTCAGTTTAAAGGAATGAAACCTAAATAAAATCACTTCAGCAGCTGTGGCACAACCGCCTACTAAAGGCTAAGACACTGGCCTTTTGAGACAGGAATCCATAGGATAAACATATATATTTTTAATTAAAAAGATGACAAATTATAGTCCTGTGTACCAAGCGTGTTTCAAGTAATTTTAATAGATTAACCTGCACTAGGCTACAACAGAAATAAATAAATAAATCACAGTCCTTAGCCACGTTTCGTTTTCCATCCAAGACGTCTCAATGTTTCTTTTATGCAGGAGAACCCCAATGAGACAAACAGAGGACTAAATAAACGGAGAAATAAAATGAAGAAAACAAGAAAAGCCCCTATTCTCCGGCTAAACCAGCGCCAAAGGCATTAGGCATATAAATAACGTTCTTTCAAAAAACGGGATGCATTTTAAATCAGTCACAAAGACGCAAACAAGCGGCGATCAGCCAGTGTAACATGTTAACTAAATAAGCAATGCTCGTCTTACCGTTCACATGTCTAGAAATATCATCTGGAAATACAGAAGTAGAGTCAAACCTCTACAAATCATATCTTCTCAAAAGACTGTAATGCACGGCTGTTGTTTTTCTTTTCTTTCTTTGGGGATTCACGTCTCGCTCCGCCAGGCTTAGCCCTACCCTGGCCTTCTTGGTTTTGAATTACAGTTGAGCGCATATGGTCGCTCCCCCTACATTGAGCCCGACACAGCACGATTCCTGCAGTGCTTCACGCCCTCTAGTGGAGGACTATCTGTCTGTCTGTCTATCTATCTATCTGGTCTTGTTATTTTTGTCCATTTATGGCAGTTGTCATAATGCAAATTTAATTTGTTTTTACCAACATTGCCAAGTGCTGCTTCTGAAGGTTACAGCTGCCTCTAATGTAAACGTCTGACCAGATTTACATTAAACAAGTATAAATCTTTTACTAACTAGAATGTCCTAGGAATGTCCTCTTGTAAACTCCTTAGAATGCTTTGACACACCGGAATAAGGGGAAAAAAAATGCAGTGTAAAATTAAGCAAGCGTTGTGCATAAGCTGGTATTCAATTACCAGCATATAAAATAAAATAAAAACAGAAAATGTATTATAAAATGAATATGAAATTGTATAGGCCTACTAACCATGATTAAGAAAAGCCTTTGTGAAGAGTAGATTGCACTAGCTTTTTTTTAATAACATATTTCTAAAAGATGCATTATATTATGCGAATTTACTTTCACTGGCTGTGCGGTATGCATGCTCTGATTCATTATGCTGGGCAACTGTTCAAAAACATTAGCTAGAAAACAGAGAGGACATCAGAGGAATTTAAATAAGAACTTAAGTTTTTAGTGTCTTAAGACAAAAATGCCCATAAAAACCAAAGCCAATTAGTGGCATTTAGGTTATCTAAACTGAACATGTTCAGCATAATAAATGTCATATTATCTGAGATGCTGTAACCAAGTTTCTTTAGGCTGCTTAGTTAGATTTACAATTTATACTGAAAACAAGTGTAGAATAACTTGAACAACAGGAATTAGCAACAGGAACTGCATGTTGAACAAACACAAAGCTTTGCTATAGAACAAAAGGACAGGGTTGCTGCCAAGGTATTTGGTAGTGCTGTTTAAATATTTGTTGACCTCACAAAGTGCAACTGATCAAGAAACACTGCACTTTTCTGTTCAGCTCCAAACGTATCTTATTTTTTACTAAAAGCACCACTGCAGTGATAAAATTAAGAACTGTACAGGACAGGTGCAAAACCAGCAGTGCATACAATTTTAACAGTAAAAGCTGTGATCGTATAAATCTAACGCAATCTACAATTTACATTTTGAGAGACATTTTAAGTTTACGTGAATTGAAATACAATACTTTACTAATATATTAGGTGGATTTTTAAGAATGAATGATTAATGAATTTTAACCAATTAGATTCCCTGAGACTAGAATCTTCCTTCAGAGGGCGCGTGAGGGCTCAGATAGATTTTTTCATTTTTTTTTTTATTAAAGGAACAATAACACACAATATGTTACAGGGCTCAGATAGATCAGAGAGCTGATTCCTCCACTGACCGCATTACATTTTTTGTTACATTTGTACACTAAAATGTGAAACATTTAATCAGTTAATCCCATCTCTTAATACCTGACATGCAAATGAAAATATGGCCTATAAATCTATAAAAACTATAAATAAAAAAATATCCAGTCAACCATCCGGTAATCACGCTGATCTGTGATTGGTCCGTCCGGACCAGCGCTGTAAAAAGTTTCAGGCACCACGCGAGAATCGAATCTCCACGCAGCTTCTTCAGCGGTCTGCGCGTGCAATAGTTTACACCTGATTAATGACACCAGAGAAACATTAGTAGCCGTCGAATTGCATTTACACCGAAGAATGAAATAGGATAATCACTATCCAGAAACATCTTTCCAGACCAATAAGAGACAACTTCCTGACCGTTTATCACCGCCCTTTCTCAGACACATATACGCAATCTACCAGTTTATAATATTTCTGTGGTATTGACGTACGAGAGGCGTTGAGTTTTACTTGTAAAGTGCTAACAGAACAACAGTCCTTCTCAGCTTGTAGGTAATGCTGTATTTCTTTTTATGAACCTATATGTCACAATTATTATTCACAATTTAGCAAGATTTAAAACAACTTGATTCGCTCTCACCTCAACCATGAATGCGGTGTTGTGCAGTTAGCTCCGTTTAAGTAATGTTATCGTTCAGCAGCATAACTTGCTGGTTTCTGAAGTACCCCACATAAACACATTCTCACCTCAACTGCCTTGTCGAGGAATGTAATTAATGTTAACGGGAAAACTGTTCTGTGCACCTGTCACTTTTTCCCAGGATGACCTTTAACCCACTTTCCTACGTAGTGCTGTAGCAATTATTATGCAGACTCTCTTTCTGTCTGTCTCAAGGCAATTTTGAAGGCTGTAACCAGGTGCCTTTGGTCAAATCCTGTTGCTGGCAGAAGAATGATGTCCCATCACATATCACCGAATTTATCAGGAAGAGTTGCTATAGTAACTGCATCCACAGATGGGTATGATGCTTTATTTCCATTCTTGTCCAACTGTTCTTTAGTTTCAGATCCTTAAAACAAAAGGGTGTGTAGCTGTCACAGCACAAAAAGACATTGTCCCTCTGGTAATAACTGATAATACAACTACTAAAACATATGTAAATATAAATTATGCATCCTAAATACTTACATAACATGCTGACAGGCCCTTGCACTCACCGATCTTCTCAGGATTGGGCTCGCAGCTGCGGAGGCTTTGGGTCAGAGGGGAGCACATGTGGTCGTGAGCAGTCGACGTCAGGCCAACGTTGACAAGGCTGTGTCACTCCTGCGCAGCAAAAATATAAAAGTAATAGGCACCACATGTAATGTGGGGAAAGCAGAAGATAGAGACAAGCTCATTAGTATGGTGAGGAGTTGCTTTATTGCTCTTTTTAGCCAATATTTAGTTAATACTTTGGGAATCATACTTAGGAATATGTGCAAATGTTATGATGAACCCAAAAGTTCAAATGTATAATATATATTGTCAAGAAATTTGATTTAAATGCTGTTACTTTTTATTACAGACAATTGAACAATGTGGCGGTGTGGACATACTGGTGTCTAATGCAGCTGTGAACCCGTTTTTTGGGAACATATTAGAATCCACCGAGGAAGTCTGGGACAAAGTTAGTTATTAACCTTGATAAACTTTTTTTCTATATGTGTATATATACTGTATATATAAAATGTTAGTAGTGTCAGTAGTATTGACATTTGCTTTATGTCCACAGATACTTGGAGTAAATGTGAAAGCTTCTTTCCTTCTGACCAAACAGGTTGTGCCTCACATGGAGAAAAGAGGGTGCGAGAAAAGTGAAAAATATGAGTGGGAATAGAAAACAGAAGTATTTCAAAATAAACTTTATATCTGAGCCTAACTTAGAACCTTTTCATTTTCAGGGGTGGGTCGGTTGTGATCGTGTCTTCAGTCGCAGGGTACCAGCCAATGCAAGTATGATGTTTACTTGCTGTAAAGTTTAATAATGCAACATGCCTTATCCAATAGCACTAAAGTGGTTTCTTTAATTGGGTTTGTAAACTTTATCTGCTGTTTTTCATTCAGCACTAGTTGAGAGTTCACCTTG